CAATCCGGCCCGATCTCTTCCTCCAGCGGGCCAATACGACCCCCCCCCTGTGACATGTCGAGGATTCCTCAACGCACGCTTGACCCTGATTCACAGTGACAATGCGCACTGTGGAAAGGAACACACGCTAACGATAGAACGCCAGAGGTTTTGGATTCCTCGCGCATCCAGTGCATTCAAACAAGACTTGAAAAATTGTGCTACATGCCGAAAATATCAAGGATTGCCTCTGGGTGCTCCAGCAATGCCCTCACTTCCCTCAGATAGGGTCGTAGAAACCAAACCGTTTCAAAACACAGGGTGCGACTTTATGGGACCATTTATAACAAAGTCTCAGGACAAGATGTATGTAGCCCTATACACTTGTCTAACTACTCGCGCAGTTCACTTAGAAGTGGTCGAAAACATGTCGACAGCAGCATTTCTGAACAGCTTCATACGTTTCACTTCGAGACGAGGCGTCCCAAGAATTATGCGCACCGACTGCGGAACAAATTTCAAGCAAGGGGAGCAAATAATAGCTACCATGTTTGAGACCGATGAAAGAACAGGGCAATCCCTGATGACTTACTGTGCATCGGAAAGAATAAAGTGGTTATTCAACCCTCCTGCATCACCCTGGATGGGAGGAGTCTGGGAAAGACTAGTAGCCTCAGTCAAGAAAGCATTCAACAAAGCCGTCGGACGAAGAAAACTGAGTTTCACGGAAATGTGCACCACGATAGCTAGAGTAGAGGCAATACTCAACACTAGACCTTTAACCAAGCTAAGTCTGGAGGACATTGCAAAAACACCGCTTCGTCCGATTGACTTCCTACAAGGGAACATAAGGTTTTCCCTACCGGAAGGAGTAATCAGCGAAAACAACGACGATCCTCTGTATGATCCTCAACTCATTCAATCGCGAAAGCAAGCTGAAGAGGCGATTCGTTTCTCCGAAAACGTAGCCAACAAATTCTGGGAATGCTGGAAGCGTGAGTACCTAGTATCTCTCCGAGAAATACAAAAACAGCACTTGAAACAACCGAGACATCTCCAAAGGTCCTGGCCAGAGGTTGGCGAGATAGTAATCATCGAACAGGAATTGATCCCAAGAGGCAGCTGGCCTTACGGCAAAATCGCGGAGATCATTTTGTCTGCTGATGGCCTGATCAGGTCGGCAAAGATCCTTATGCCGAATCGTAAAACGATACATCGCCCTCTCAACAAAATCTACCCTCTAGAAATTCGTAGTGTACCACTCGAATGATGCGGCAGAGGAAAGAATAAGAGGACTGAGTAAGGATCACAGCGATTCTCCCATCTTGTTAGAACCACAAGATCTAGAGGACTCAAATGGCAAGTCCAAGGAAAGCGGAAGCGGGACAGAGGCGGCAACGACAACCTCTACCCCGTGCTTCGAAAGAGCGAGCCCATGAATTCTTTCAGAAACATGGATGAATGCTATCAGGAGGAGGCAGATGTCTAACCTGCATTGAAACTCCCACATGTAATCCATAACCCTATCGCTACCAAGAAAACTATGCATGCCTGGACCAGGGGAGTACTAACGAATCGAAAATCAATGATCCAAAATCAATCAGGTGGCATGACAGCCATCCCATCAAGATAGTGGGCAATCTCTAAGTTCCAGTGCCGTATGGTCACTCAAACATAATAGGCACTGATATGCCACCCAAAAAACCAAATGCTAACTAACCTCTCCGAGGAGATTGCTTCCACCCTGATAAGGACGTCCACCTCGCCTCGGGGCAGCGGTGATCGTGGGTCGCGGTTGTTGACAGCTACAGCCGTTAGGCGCGACGAAAGTGCCAAAGATTAATAGGCGGAAACGGTGCACTTCAAGGCACCGTACGTTACGCGGGTTTCTTGGCAGGTTGATAATGTGGTCAAAGACTCGATTCGTAGTCACCCATATCTCGCACGTTTAGCAGCGTGTAGTAGGGCTATTATCAGCATTCAAACAATATTTTCGTATTTTATGGTGCCTTTTTCAATAATATGAAGTGTTGTTGTAAGGTTATTCTGTCTTCTTCTCACCATCGATGCGCCTACGGTCTTCCATTCGACAAGCAGTCCAGTCTAGCGAGCATCGAAATCAAGCTCTCATCTCGCCTCTCCACTCGGCGTCCAGTCAACTATTCCGCATCCACTCATCATACGATCAAAGATTTCATGTTTGTATGTATATATAACTTAAACTCCGTTGCCGGCGGAGTATCGTCGTCTAAGTCGACGATCTTAATCCCTAATCGTCTCCTCCTGTCTAAGTCGACGATCTCTAAGTTAGTCACGCCCCTAAACCAACAAGGGGTCAAGCAGGCTCAGAGTTGGCACTCACCCTCCTTACACCGGTAACAAGACGTTGGTTTATTATTGCTCTGTAATTGCAATAAATATTATAACTTGACTATTGCATTGTTCTCAGTTGAGAACATCGGTCCGGATCCGGCACCATCACTCAGAAATTGGGTCATAAACAAGCAATCCACTGAACCACCCAACATTTTGGTGCAAAAAGCCCATAACATCAATATAAGTGGCACAGGCTAGAACGTTTACGAAATTAGCTGAAACGTTTACGAAATTGCTCGCAATGTCTCCGAAATGGAATGCAAAGTTTACGAATTGGGGTGGAAAACCCTGTAGCATAATTGTAACCAGGACGAAATAGTCCCTGTACACAAGTTTACAGCGAATTTGTGGGAATGAGTCGTGGCGAAACCAGGCGCCAAATGGCGCCAATTTGGCGCCAGCGCCAAAAAGCGGATGTCACATTCGTGATCAGGTGCCTCGATAACCCCTGTAGGATAAGTTTCAGCGAAATTTTTATTTTTGCCGAAATTGATTGCAAAGTTTACGAAATGTGCTGGAACTTTGACGAAATTGGTTGCAACGTTTACGAAATCGGTTGCAACGTTATCCGAAATTGATTGCAAGAATGACGAATTGGGCGTTAGAATGACGAAATCGGTTGCAACGTTTACGAAATGGGCTGAAACGTTTACGAAATGGGCTGCAACGTTTACGAAATGGAATGCAAGGTTTCCGAAATGGAATGCAAGGTTTACGAATTGGAGTGGAAAGCCCTGTCTTGGGACCCTGGTCCAGAACGTGCCGAACAAAACTTTTGAACTTATCAAGATCTTTGGTAGGCCTACCAGTCTTTGATTCTAAAGATATTAGGTCATCTCATTCAAACATGTCCACGGTTTTATTCGAATAAAATGAACAGCAGGAAAGATAAAAAGCTAATACTTTGGTGTTAAGTCAAGCAGATCTTGTCGTTGTTAACGACCCGATCCCAGCGTCTAGAAAACACTGGACACCGCGCAGCTTCTTCATTTCAACAAGTATAGACAAGATGCTTTTGATGTCAGTATAGATGATCAACGAATTGTCGTAGCGCTTCCCAACGAGTAGGGCGTTCAGTTCGATAAAACAGCTGAGGTCGCACGGCTGCAGTTGGGAAAATACGGCTGATAAGAAGAGGTCACAATATCCGTTTGGTCGAAATACCCGTGAGCAATATGAGCTATGTGGGGTCTGGTATCGACATAGGTGATGATATCGTTATTGTAGTTTTATACTGCTATTCCTTTGTCAATTTGTTCGCTAAGAAACAAGCCATACACTTGAGAAACGCCGGAGGTTTTTTCCCGACAGAGCCATTTAAGAGGCACATCTCAGAAATCCATCGCCATAATAATCATCCACGTGAACCCACGTGACTTCTCGTGATCCAATTCGGGCAGTTCCTCATTCGCGTTAATCCAAAGTTGACACTTCTGACTTGGCCTCAGCGTACAATTACACACAAATTTCGTTTATGAGCAGGGTCCAGTTTGATAGTCTTAAATGCCGTTATTGGCAGAGAAATCATTGCTACAGACACCAATTCGATTCTGGACTCCTGCATCTGGGAGTAAATGAGATATCCAAAAACATGTTCTGTGGACCATCCCCAATTTTTGGGCACAATTTCGCGTAACAGGTGCAGCTAGACTGCAAGTCTCGTGGGCAAACATCGCAAAGGTTCAACATCTGTGATGCGCCATTTGAAACCTCATTTCATCCACCCGCTCTTCTTGGGCAAGGTGGGCAATGTGAGCGCGTCCTCAACCACAACTCGCATCCGTTCTTCCTTCTTTGAGCTCTCACACCATATCTTCAACGTAGCACTTCGAGAACACTGTATCACGCGTAAGCTGAGCCAGCACACAGAGAATTCGAGTTGCGAATTTTACGTGTGTCACCAATCATTTGGAAATTCCGCCTCGATTTTGGTCACTATGAGTTTTTTATGTTTTTAAGTGTTCCTTCTGCGGCACTACAAACTTAATTGAGGTATACCGTAGCTAGGTTTGCTAGCTTTGCAACAAAAGCAAGCAGAATGCTCCAGTCCGCATACTTTCGATACAGGGAGAGCAGGAGAAAGCTTTCCATTAATTGAAACAATTTAAAGTTGCATGTAAAACGGTGAGAATTTAGAAAATCTAAGGCCGATGTCATAGTTTGCGAATCGAGCGATTCGCTGGATCCGAGCGTTGCGCCAGCGAATCGAACGTTGCACCAGCGAATCGAACTTTGCGCCAGCGAGTCGAACTATGTACCAGCGACTCAATAGTGGCAGGACCCAACTTCTGGACGCTGTTTGAAAGTGGCGACTTTGCAGTTCAAGTAGTTCGTCGACCGCGGGGACTGCGCACCCGGTTCTTGAAACAAAGGGTGCTGCGTCTCAAGATCCTTCTCGCAGCCAATTCTATTATCTTATTACATGAGATGAGTTTTCCCATGAGCTGTTCTCTTCGGAACCCTTTCTGCCTTGCCCGAAATTTTGCACCTACCTTCTAAGGACAAAACCGACACACCTATACTGGGATACAAAAAACGGCCTCCCATGCATAACATCTTTCATGAGAGGAGGTTTTATTAGTTGCTTAAGACAATAGCAACAAATTCATATTTATTGGTTAACAGGTTCGAAATCACGGCGAATCTCATTGAGCGCCAGGTCCATAGCTGTCGTAGGACCTGGTTTCTCGAGCATCCACTCGTCCAAGTCCGTTGTTTAGTCGACCGCCGAAGTACCAACGTGGTCGAACAACTACAAATCACTTTCCTAGCTGGTTCATAGGACTTGAATTATTCATGATATCAAAAAACATCACAAGTACTTACATCCCCATCCAAATTCGCTTCCATTCACGTAGAC